GTCAGTTTTTATTATGATTATTTAAATAAAAAATCATCTATTTCGGTGTTGTAGTTTTACATTATTAGGTATGTGTAAAGTGAATTTGCTGCTATTAAGCTGTCATTATTGTCATACCAGCGGTGTATGATCGTGTCTGATACTCAATCCGAACGAATTGATAAACGAGGTCTCATGCGTAAGCGAGCTAAAACAACTGAGTTATGAAACCATTTATTGTCGTCTGAGCTTTAGCTCGTATTCTTAACAGTTAACATCTTTGTTTCTCGTGTTATTTATTCGTCGCTTCGTCTTCCTTTTCATTTATGTTAATCTCTGATTCGCCCCTTTTCTTGTTGGTAAATAATATCTCCGTCTTGTCCTTAACTGGGAAATCAGATCGATGATATCTGCCTTGTCTTGATTTTTGTCTTTGTTCTTATGGCTGATTGCCTCGAGGAACTTCATGCATGCATGGTACTCTGGTGTTTCGTCAGTGAAACCCATTTCCTGGATCAGTGATTTTAAGCTTGGCTTTGTGGGTGATGGCGTCTTGTCTGGTGGCGAATCGATGTTGAATTGGATCCTTTTTTGGATTAGCTTTCATTGTATCGTTGTGGTGATGGGCATGGGGTTTCCTAGTGCGTGTGCCAATGCTGACTGGCTGGTGCGTACCAATTTTCTGATCGGTTTGGTGGGTACTGTTGGGGCTGTGCGTTTTGGCTTAGCCGTTTCGGCGACGGTGGCGAATTTTCAGATATTGTCGAAGACTGTTCTTCGTCTTCTTCTCCGCTGGATGAATTTTTCTCGGGAGTCCTGGTTGATTTTGTGTTGGACTTTTCCTCCGTTCGGAGGCTCATTCCACGTGTGGGTTGCGTTTTGTGTGTAGGTGGGCCGCCAGTACTTTTTCCTGTGAGCTTTGTCCTTCTCTTAGTTGGACTGCTCTGCTGTCCTATGGCCTGCTTTTTTTCTGGTTAGTAGCTCAGGTAGACCCGTTGCTTCATCTTCCTTGAACATCGGATGTTGTGGGCGTTAGGCTGCTCGATGTCTAAGAAACGTAGACAAGGTCGGGATCTCCACGCGGATTTGTACGCCACATAATCACTTAGCCTTGAGGGTCTGCAAGGCCCAGATATTAAAGGATTAAGAACATATGCAAATCCACTATTCGTCAAAATCACTTTTTTTTAAATTAACTTATTCTTATCTAATGCTATCGCTCGTCTGATTTTCACACCTGGTGTTTGATGTTGTTGTTTTGATGAGGGTGTTAAGTCCGCTGGTTGGAGAGGTTGTGTCGGGCGTCGTTTTATCGCGACTTTGGCCTCCGATCATCTCTACAAGTCGTGCATAGTCTCGGCTGGTAGTGGCGGTTGTGTAATTTTTTTCCGATCTAAACATGCGTTTTTTGCACTTTCCCAAACCATATTGTTTCGAGAGCTATTTGTTGCTAAGATTGAAAGAGGAGTATTTGGTTTTCTATCTATATGTGCTTCACATTGTGGGATTTTAATTACCCCGTGTGGCGTGATTCATAGTGTTTTTATAATTTTGGCTACGTCCGAAGCTAATTTATACGGTGGATTGTTTTGATCTATTCTTGTTACCCCTAATCTACGTTTTAATGTTTGAATCATTCGTTCTACTACTCCTTTTGATCTATGGTCGTCTACCGGTGCGAAAAGTTTGTTAATGGTTTTATGTTATTTCTGTTGCAGAAAATATGGAAGTTTTTGGGCCCTGAGTGTTTGTGCTTGGTCATATCTTAATCTTCGGGGTACCCCATTGTTTGAGATGTACCTTTGCATAAGTTTTATGGCAATGTCTGCTGTTGTGTTTGAGATTACTTTTGCTGTGGAGAATTTTAACTATTTATCTATTGCAACCAAATTGTATGCCTCCTTATTGAGTTCATCAGGGAGGGGCCCGACAAAGACTAATTGAATTTCTTCGTTTGGTTCTACCACTGGATCCATTTAAAACGAGTGTTGTTTTCCTATTATTGGTTGAAGGTTTTTATTTTTTTCCATGCCATCTGTGCCATCTGGACTAAAGAGCGATGTATGTACGGGAACTAAACATGTTGGCACAGATCCAACATAGCTGCTGATCCCTCGTGCATTAGATGTATGCTGTCTAACGCTGTTTGCCGTAGTTGCATCGGGATGACTATTCGTTCATCGACCAGTAGAAAGTCTTCTCGCACATGTAGTCTATCCCAATTGTTGAACCAGTATTGCCCGTATGAAGTTTTGATGGTCTCTTAGTCTCGTTTCTTGACGAAGTTGAGGATTGGTCGCATGTTTCGATCTTTCTTGCTGGTGGCGGCGATGAATCGGACTCCGAGAACTTTCTTTAATTTTCCACGAAACAGGGGATTGTCCTCTTCCAATTCGGTGTGCTTACCCTGTTCGACTGTGGCGACGAACTTCTCTGTGATCAGGTTGTGACTGGCCTCTAATTGTATCTGCTGCAATTTTGTCATGGTGGGTGGTTCGATATTTGGGGTGAGTTCCCCTTGGCTGCATTGTGTTGGATCCACGCGGCCTACGCATTACTCATGTACTTCGATGGAGAGTTCGGTTTGTGTGAATGCTGGGATCGTGAGGTCTTCTGTTTGCCATGATTGGGTAGTGATCTTCTTTAGTGTTGATGTCGATTGAGTTGGTGTCTGGCGAGTTGTCGCTGAAAACAATTTTTTGGGAAGAGTTATTATTTTTAGGTTGGGATGTGAGTAGCTCCCGCGCATCTTTGACTCCTGTTGGCGGAGGCGTAGTTGTTGATTGCGATTTTGTTGTTGATGTCCGTCTGTTGTTTGTGGATGTTTTTCGCTTACGCCAACGTGGATCGGTCAAGCTCTCCTCCCGATTTAATGTGCCGTGCTCCTGCGTTTCGCTCCTGCTTCTTCAGTCGAGTGGTTATATCGTCAGCGAGGAAACCACCTTTAACTTTTTAAATCATTCCGACATCCCATTTCGTTTTGATCACCCGGATAAATTTTTCTAGAGTGTTGGTTACAATTTGTGCTGACTGAATTTGAGCTTGACTGAATTTGAGCTGGTTTTGTGCAAAACTGATTTGATTTGAATGTTCGAGAATGAGCGCTTTCGAAATGTGCGGAATATTTGAGGTTTAGTCCAGATTTTGGCGTTCTTTTATTTTCCACGCGCTTTGTGATCAGCCGATATGGTGCTCTGTTCTGATTGGCTAGATTGTTCAGTATGATGTTGTCAATCATCTCAAGATTGTTTAGGAATGAGTTAATTGATGCTACTACAAATTTTCGTCATACGCGCCTGGGGGTATTGCTAATTCAACCGGATTACGCGACATATAGTCTATTAGTCCCATTTTATTCCCCGCCAAGTGTTTAATGTCAAAGTTAAAGGGAATTAGCCGGTCAATCCATCAGGTTAGCCTGCTTTGGCTGTTTTTGATTTTTTGCTTGCGTTTGATGCGCTGATCAAAGCTTGATTTTCTGTAATGAAGGTAAAGTTTTTGCCGTATAGATCATATTTGAAATGTTCGATGGCCCAAGCTACCCCAAGTAATTCAAGCTCGTTAACAGAGTACTTTTCTTCTAAGGAATTTAGGAAACGTGACACATAGGCTATGGCCTCCCAACTTTCCGGATAAAAGTGGTCTAATGCGGCCCCTAGTCCAGATTTGGATGTGTTGCAGACCACGGGGGTATCTAGGTTTTGGTCAAAATGTTTATTTTGGGTTATGTCTGAACTTAATTTTAGGTCGTTTTTGAATGCTATATTGTGTTCAGGTTTCCACTCAAGTGGCCTAATCTTTTCTGACAAATCTCTTGCGGTGTCTTTCGATGGATTATATTTGAATATCATTGATTTGTCATTTTACTATAGTCGAAGAGCTGTTTTTTCTTTAATATAATCCTATAATCGAATCGGCGATGGCGAATATGGCCTCCGTCCTTGTCTTCAATCTTACCGTTGAGGTCATCTTCAGTCAAGTTGGCTGATATCTTTACTTCGAACGCTTCAGATATTGCCATAAATGACAATTTATTCAATTGGAATTCTTACCATCCATCAGTGGACGTGAATTCGGCAAACGCAACCGGATCATTTTCCGTCATTTCGTTTAAAAACACAACTGGATCATTTACCGTCCTTTTGTTTACATCTTCCATTTCTTCTTGTTGTTCTTCGTTCCTGTCCTCTCGGTAGTTGACGCCAGTAGATCTACATACTTTTGCAAAATGGTCCTGTTTGGCGAAGTTTGGCGTTTGCTTGGCGGGATTGTAAGTGGTTTGTGCCGAATTGTCTGCCGTACTTATAACATTGCTTTTTTTGTAGATTGTAGTGGGATTGTTGTTGTTGACCCCTTGTGTTTTGTGTTCCGCCTGTGCCATACGGTCTACCATGGAATCCGCCGCGACCTCTTGGTGGATATTGGTTGTTTGTGTAATTACCTCTACCTCGCAAGTTAATGTAAAGTACCGGTTCTTGTTTTAATGGTGTTGTTGATGGTCCTCTAAATGGATTTGTTTTCGTAGCTTGGCTGTGTTCGATTCCTTTTTCTCGGCGAATTGCATATTCAAATACATCTTGATGACTCCGCGGTTCGGCTAAAAGCTCTTCCTTGACTTTCTCATTGTGCATGTTAGCAGTAAACATGTCTCTAACCCTTTCATCTTCTCGATCTCCGCAATCGGCTCGCGAAGCTAATTCGACCAGGTCCGCGTGGAATTGCTCTAAGCTTTCGTTTTTCTTTTGTTTTCTACAAATAAAGTTGTACCGTTCGAACGCTATAATCCTTGTTGTCACGAAATTATCTTCTAATAATGTCATGAGCTCTTTTGTCGAGATGCTGTGCAAGTTGAGGCTTGGCCTCTTTTGTTGAACCTGGCGTTGTCCATCCGCGCCTAGACATAGAGATTAATAATTGCGGACTAATGCATCAGCCTCGTCCCAAGGAAAAGAGTTACACAGTACGCCTCTTTCCCTCGGTTTTTGAGCTGGGTTTTCTCAACCGACTGGCTTCTCTTGGTTCCCTACATCGCAATTTTTTTTTCTGTGCCTCCGTATCACCAGTAATTTCGACTTCATTAATGGGTTCTGCGGGTTTGAATTAGTGCAGATTCAGCTCTTAGTAAGTTTCGTACCTTGATTCTATCTTTTGCAAACACCGCCGCCTCGTGTATTGCTGCACATTTAGACCACTCTAATGGTGGTTCAGCTGACGCCTTCTCCCAAAATGGATTAATAGTCAACGGGTTTTTCGAATGTCCTGCAGGCTGCGGCATGTCATACCGCGGTGTATGATCGTGTCTGATACTAAATCCGAACGGATTGATAAACGAGGTCTGATTGGTAAGCGAGATAAAACAACTGAGTTATGAAACCATTTATTGTCGTCTGATCTTTAGCTCGTATTCTTTACACTTAACATCTTTACAAGTTCAATCGACGAAACAGAAAGGTTTACTCATCATAGTGAGTTTATATTTACAAAACTGATTACGTTTGTCAATCCGTGCCAGAGAATAATTATATCACAGTTGTTAAAAGCGGTTTTTACAAGAGTATTTGGCTGTTTTCTGCCAATCTAGTTTTCTACCAATCTTTTTTGCATCAGTTGTTTGAGCAAAATTTCCGAAAAAAAATCTGAATAACTTTTCTTTTTTTTTCAAATTTTTAAAAAATTACGCTCACTCTTAAAAATTAAAACATTGCTCAAATGAAAATTATTTTTCAATTGATTGATAAATTTTGCGAGAGGAAGTGTCTTGTAATCGGGAACCAGAATTTTTTTCTCGTTAACCACTTTTTTCACAAGTAATTGAGTTTGTGATGCGGTCGCCTCTGCAACCTAAGGTCCGGGGTACAAGTCCAAGCCGTACTCCGTTTTTCTATTTTTGAAATTGAAGTGTTTTTTTTTTGTCGGTAAAAATTGAATTGTCGATTTTTTGTTTGACTGCTCAAGGCTAATTTTCCGACTAATTTGCCTTATCAGGGTTTTTTGTTTTGCTGCAAGTAATTTAGGCTCTTTTCTTCTAACCCGCCTGCAAGATTTTATATGTAAAATACCGTTCACATTGTCCGATTGTTATGACATTTGACTAGCAGACTATTTAGGCCATGATAAACATATTTAGTCTTCATAACCAACCTTAAAACCACTCGTTATCCCAAACAATTGTTGCTCATTTCAAATGTCATTTTGGCTGATAGCCCCACAACTGAATATGAAGCACGATTTGGATTTTTCGCTGCGAAAATTAAAGTGCACTGAATTTTATCGTATGCGACAATTGTGCTCGCGGTTAGCAAGCGTTATCATTTCCGATCATTGACTTATTCTTTTAAACAACTTGTCCAACAAAATATTTGAATAATTTTCTCAAATATGCATTTTCGTCTACCAACAGACAAAGTTTGAGCACGTTTGATTTTTTTGGTTTATATTTAACTGGCTCAATGAATTGTTGCATGAGCAAAATAAGTTTCCTAAGCATGTGAGTCTTTTGATTTGGTAATTGTTTTTGAAAGGTTTTAAGTTTTTATGAAAATTTGTTTTTGGTTCAAGGGGTGTCGGCTGAAAAATTGTCGGTTTCGGTAGCGCTTATTTTAAATCTGAACTTTATTCAAGACAGAGATGTGAAAATGCTGGTATATCTTGTTTTTCTCTAATTTTTCAACACTTTTTTGACTTAACGACTTTCTTCTCAATTTATCTCGGCTTGTTTGTCATGTTATGTGTGTGTGTGTGTGTTGTATCACAAGTGGTGCGAAGCTCTCCTTCAACTTTGTGTGAAAATACTCTCTTAAAGTCAAATTTGATTTATGATTTTTTAGCTTTTTTTTGTGGTTGAATTTTTCTTCCAATTGAGAGCCTGGTATTATCTGATGCGAGGATATGTTTTGATGATAAGTTGAACACAGTCCTTATGTTTCTTTTAAGTCATAGCAATTTTTGAATCAAAGGTCTTTTCAGGGGTCTTTTCGGTTATTATCCCTATATGATAAAAATTGGAAATTGGACTCGTTCTTCTTACAAATGCAGGGCTGATATCCCAAGCGTTAGGTAAAGCTTAAAAGTGCAAAAAATGAGAATTCAACGACAATTGAAAATGTTTTTGGAATTCTTTTTTATGAAATTTATGCACAGAAAACTGGGAAACTGGGAAAAAGTGGAGAAATAAGCAATAGGGAGGCTTAAGTAAGTAGAAATACTCTAGTTTTACTAGTTTTATAATAATATCGTGCATTCTATTAAGATTGTCGCAATTTTGTCATAAAATTATCATTTCAATTTTTTTTTATCATTTAGGGGATTATACCCGAGAAGACCCGTTTTCAGTACATTACCATTCAGCAGAAGTTTTCTGGCACATAGCATATTTTGGTATCAGACGTGGTGTTACGCTCCGAATCCGCTCTGAGCGGAGTTGTTCCAACTGCCTGTTAGTGGTTTTCATCAAAAATTCGTGTGTAGTGTAGTTAACGAACTCAACCGACTTAAGTTTTTGCAAATTGAATCGACGCATGGTAACCTGTTCAAATATTTAAATAATAATCAAGGGTAAAAATAATTGAAATTGTCATTGTCTGTGTGATGATTAAAAGAAGAAATACGTCACATTTTAGTCGTTTGCGCTTGCTAGAGCAAGTGCATTGCTATAGGTGCCCAGACGTTTTTCCATAAGAAGTTTTTGGCACTGATATTACAAAAGGTTGTTTTATTGTTTCATTGGGTGCAAAGTTGTTATGGGGATAACATATTGGCTTCTAGTTTTTTGTGCTTTAGAACTTTTTGAAGCATAATATGCATAGTACAACGTTGCGTAATTTTTTATAAAGTCTTCTTAGGTGCACAGATGGCCTATATTTGACTTTAAGGTCAGTATCTTAGACTTTAAGGTTGTAGGTGGACGGCCCGTAGGTTGATGGTCAGTTAAAATCTTGGTGCCTGCTCTATCTTTTTTAACGCTTGCGAAAGGTAAGCGTTATCAAATCGGAATTTGGACTTTAGGGTTATCAACTAGTTTAACAAAAACAAATGTATCACATGACGCTGCTATCACGTATGATGCTGCTGTGCTGAAATGCTCAGTTTCATGAAAATGAACAAAAATTTAACTGCCAGAAGAGTACTAGTTACTATAGGGTAGATTCATGGGGGAAATGAAACCTTTAAAAGTTTTTTTTAAATCAGTTTTTGTGGGCTCAACTTGGCGTCTGCTCAAAGATTGTCGGCCTTTTTCGGCTTCGTAAGTTTTGTTCAGTTGCTAATTTGAATTTCAAATGTCTTGCTTGGCATGTTTGCCTAAAGTTCTTGTTTGATAAAAATAGGTATTATGAAAATTTATGGGATTTAGTTTTTTTTTTTAAATTTTTTGAGTTGCTTTGGAAAGTTTAAAAGTTAGGTTTTTTTCCCCAAAAACCCTTCTCCCTACCGATTTTCAAAAAGGGTATATATAAAAAGACCGCCTACAGTCGTGTGTGCCTGCATATTCCCCTGGTCTCTTTTTTGCTTTACTTCGTCGTCTACAGCCTTCGAAAAAGTCTTTGGGGGTAATATTTGACCGATGTTTTTATTTTTTCTGTTTTTTCAAATTTTTACTTTCCAAAATTGAGATTTTGGTTTCAATGAATAAGAACAGTTTTGAAAAGCTCCCCTCGATAAGCGGCCGCGACTACGCCCAAACTTATTTTTACTTGAAATTGTGCCCCTCAGATAGTCAAATTTTTAATTTTTTTAATCGTTTTTTGAATCTTTCAACTTTTCTCGTAAACTAATTTTCTGAGGTTGTGGTTTCAATAGAGATAAAGGCTAGTGGGAAGCTCCACTGCATTAGTGGTTACGTCCAAATTTTTTTCCCCTCAGCATAGTCAAATTTTAAATTTTTTAAACCATTTTTTGAATCTGTTTTAACTTTTCTCGACAACAAACCTGAGGTTGTGGGTTTAATAGAGATAACCGGTAAAAGGAAGCTCTCCTGTTTTAGCGGCCACTCCTAATTTTTTTAGACAAATTTTTTTTGTCGTTTCAGCATTTTTTTTAAACCTAAACTTTTATGAATGTTACCAACAAATACCCTAGCATATATGGGATTTTGGGTTCAATTCAAAGATCCAATAGCGAGAAACTTTTTTGCATACGCGATTACGCTTAAATTTTTTTGACACAAAAATAATGGCCCTCGGAAAATTCAAATTTTTGATTTTTTGACAGTTTTTTTTGAAACTTTGTGAATTTTCTCGAAAACTATCCTGCCAAACGTGGGTTTTGGGTTCAGTCGAAATTACAGGTTTATTGAATCTTTCTGCATAAGCAGCTACATACAATTTTCGAAACAAAAAGTTATTGTTCTCGGAAATCTCAACTTTCTGATTTGTTGACCTTGTTTTGGATTTTTCTCGATAGCTATCCTGCCAAAGCTGATATCATAGGTTTAATCGACATAACAGGTTGTTGGAAGCTTACCTTTATTTGTGCTACGCCCGGTTTTTTTTTAAGTTAAGATCTTCAAATAAGTGAAATTTGGGTCGTTTCTTTTTCTAGAATTTTTTTTAGTTTTCTTTAAAACTATTCTATCAAATCTGCGAATTTTTTCTAAAGAAGCGGCTATTACTTTATCTTTTTACAGAGAAAGGTAGTTTTTAGGAAAATTCCAAAATCTCAACACTACAATTCTCACTTATATTATTAGAGAAACAACTAAGGTTTTGGGTAAAGAACTTTGTATTCCGGTGTGTTTTTCTTTTTTTTCCACCATCGAATTTTTTCTCTTTTTGTTTTCCACGCAAAATCCGGTACCACAACTAATCATTGGACTAGGTTGAGTGATATTATATATTGAAGCCCTTACGGCCGTGATTCTCGCAGTTTCGAGGAAAACCGGTTTGAATTTTTTTTGCCTTATTTCGAGCGAATAAAGCGAGCGAGCAGTCTTGTTTCAATTCCTTACAAGCTCGCAAAAGCTTAATTTAAAACATAAAAATTTAATTTCACTTGAGTAACGTTAGTTTACTTTGAGTCTTTTAGTGCCTTTTTGGAATAAAAATTTGAAAAAGCTTTGTATTTTTTTGAAGATTACGGTCGGAACATTCTGTGCTACTTGCACAGTAACAGAATATCCTTGTTAGCATTTGTAGCTGCTCTAATGGTGATTAGTTTTTGTCGGTTGTTCGTGCCTGAGCGGGCAGGGCGTGAGAGCCAAATCTCGAGGTCGCAGGTTCGAATCCGATGCGTAGCATAGTTTTACTAATTCTAGCCTTTTTTCTGTTTTGTCTTTATAAAGTTGCTTTTTTTGTCGTTTCTCACTAGTTTTTGCGAAGAGCAGCTTCGCTTCTGTGTATATGTATCAAATGAACCGGAAAAAGTTATTTGTTTGAAACAATATAACAATCATAAAAACTACATCTTAGAAATTTTTTTCTCGCAATTTTTCGAAATGCATAATTTATACATAGTATGATTTTATGCTTCCCAATTTTTTAGATGCAAAATTAGATTGGATGCTTTCAGTTTGTTATATTCCAATTTATTACTTGCAAAATCGTGTCTATTTGTATTTGGTGACACTTTTGCTGCATCGCATAGTCAATTTATTGGCATATGTAGCTGCTTTCTTTGTGACTAGTTTTTGCCAGTTGTCGAGCGTTCGTTGCCGAGAGGGCAGCGCGTGAGACTCCAATTTACGAAGTTTCTGGTTCGAAGCCCATACATAGCAAAATTTTACTAATTCGAGGCTTATTTCTATCTTTTCTCATTTCACTTTATAAAGCTGGTTTTTGTCGTGTTCGTGCTAGTGTTTACAAAGCGCAGCTTCGCCTTGGCGTTAGTTTTTTTACTCAAGCGTAGTGCCATAATACGAAGTCCTTTTATACGTATACTCGTATACTTATTACGCAGTTCAGACTCTTATATAGATCGTGAAGTTTTTTTTCGTCTTTTTGCGGGAAACATTTTATAGTTTGTTCGGGCTCAAATTTACTTTTTCGCGGTTTGACTTTTTTTTTTAAAGTTCGACTCACTTCCATTGTTAAAAGGACGGCAAACTCCATCATCGAACAGCAAAAGTGTAAAGGTCACGAAAAATGTGATCAACTTCTAATTTGGAACATGGACTTTTATTATAGGATTTCCCAGCGAATTAGAAATATTGCCTATTGATCCAGTTTTTTTTGAAATAGGGTTAATTTTATCAAAACAGTGTCAATCGGAAGTTTTCTAGAAATTCAAAGATTTTTAAGGCCATCTTTATTTTCTTGGAACTTAGAATGTTGAGATTTTATCAAAAAACATTGAGTTTCTTTTCTGTTTAATTGCATTCATTGACTCTTTCCAAGTGTCTGTTGGCTACGTTCTAACTCAAGTTGCCAATAACAGTTCCCAATTGGTGGTTTTTTTGAGGCAATAGCATTATATTTGGTCTGCTTTTGCTGCATTAGTGTTATATCTGGTTTACTTTTGCTGCTCTAGCATTTTGTCGTTGTATCTGGATTTTTGGTTGCTGGTGTTTGAAGGATGTCTTTTGACTGTTGCGCAGATGCTAGATCGTGTGACTAACAATCTCGAGGTCTGGGGATCAGTTCCGGTGTATATCAGATTTTTAAATAAATTTTACTCTTGCTTTCAATTTTTGGCCGTTTAAGAGTTAATTTTTTCTCGCTTTTGTTTGTTAAGTACAGCTTAGTCTGTGTCCTGACTTTTATTCTTCAATTCGACTTCGAATCTTAAACGAGATCTACTGTTTGCCTGCTTGACTCTAACCAATTTTCATTTTAAGCTCATTTTTTCGTTCAAAACAGTGTCGGTTTCGAAAAAAGCGTTTTACTGACTGATAAAATGATGAAAGTGAATTATTTTCCTCTGTGTAATTGCGTTCTTTGACTCTTTTCCAACTGTCTGTTGGCCATAATTTTTTTTCCGATTTTATTCCGAGATTTTTTTAAAAATTTTTTATTTCACAAGGTGATAAATAAGGCTTCAGTTTTTATTGTAATTTAAACACTTTCTATCAATTTCTATTTCTATCATTTTGACAGGAACGAAAGCATGTGAACAAGATTTGGAATTAATTGCTTCCAAACAAATTTAAGCAACAGATTTGTCGAAAAAAATTGACAACAAGAAGCTTATCAATAACAGCAACAGTATGCTTTTTGCATTTAATGAAAAATTCTACAATTTTTTCACGATAAAATGTCAATCAAAATTTGAATTGACAATTTGACTAATTTTCTCACACTGTTCACGAAAAAATTGTTCTCGAATTTTCCAAAGCAACTGTTGCATGAAATTTATGCCATTTGGGAAATTTTTCATTTTTATGCCATTTGGGAATTATGCCATTTGAGACGTAATCGCGCAATAGACTAGCACAGGAGAAAGTGGGGAAGCTAGCCTTTTAATCATAATTCATACTTTTTTCGTACTCCAGTTTTTAACGTTTGAGTCTGTTCTTGAGTTCTAAATCATTGTATTAAGAAGATCAGGTGTTTTAAACATGTTTGGAAAAAATACAGTATTTTGAAAACAATGGATAGTTATAGTTCACCTGTTATATCGTTTCCCTGTTATCGTGTTATATGTAGGTCTGTGTGATGAGCGGGACTCAAAATACGCGCGGGCTGTGAAGGGGAGAGTGGAGAAGACTTTTTTGGGGGAAGTATGTGATTTTCTGGAAGAAGTCTACCTACAAGATGACATATTTATCCTTGTGAAAGTTTCAATGAAAAGAGTAAAAGTTAGTGCATTGGCAATTTTTTGAAAAAAAAAACTATTATTTCTTGAGGAAAAGTGCTCAGAATGATAAACTAAAATCTCAGTTTGACACCAATCACAAGCTGGCCAACCAAAGAACTAGAAATTGAGTTTGAAATGGCTTTTAAAAATTGACACGTTAATATGTATATTTAAGCAAGATAATATGCCGGACTTTTTGTTCGTGATTACCGGTTCGAACCTTCGAGTCAGTGATTCTTTTTATTTAGTTTTTATAGCCATTTGTGTTAATGTGTTAATATCTTTCATGCGCTGCTGTAATTTGGTTGTGTATACAAACTTCCTCTTCGCCTCTGTCTTCATATTTCTTCAATGTGATCAACTTATGTCTTGTCCAGATTCTGCAACTTGAGGTTAACTGTCACACGATAGCAGCGTCTATTCTGGAACAACCTGTGAAAAAGATTGGTTGCAAATTGCAGACAGTGAAAGTGTTGTCATCCGAGAACTGTCTGTTGGTCTATATTGACTTGGCCAATAGCAAGTACAGCATAGCACACACTGTCACCCTTGTGAAGGAAAACTTGGCAAAGGTCATCGTTAAAGGTCAGTCAAGGTCACTTCAATCATAGTTTATAAAAAGCACTAAAACTGTTGAGATTTGAGATTTTTTATAGCACTGTAAAAATTTTTAGCTACCATGGACATAAAGTTTACTGTTTTTTGAAATTGTTTTTGGAAGTTAGACTGTGTTATCTATACATGTGATGGAAGATGATGAAATTTGTCTCTGATCGCTCGCTATGCTCTTCATTTGAGAATTGTTGTATCACGATAAACTTCACAGCTGTCTGAATTGAGACAGGAGTTTTAATTCTCATTTAATTCTCAAGCAATTCAGTTATATCATGCTATTCATATAACGATGAAGTTATTGCAACGTTTTTTCTAGTTTTTTTTTCAACTTGGAGCAACTTTGTTCAGGTCTAGCGGAAGTGAATCGGGCTGTGGTGTCAATTGATGACTCAGTGAACCCCCCTGTGTACAAACTGATAGTGGAGGGGGATGACTTCGACAAAGTCATGTCTACTTACGGGGTGGACTTTAGACGCACCAAGAGCAACAACACTTTTGAGGTACATTCAAAAAAAGTCACCGAGATAGATTGCAATTGTAAACCCGTGTGAAAAGGCCGATTATTTGCGGACATTTTTTTAGAAGGTACCAACATTTTATATCTCTTATAAATCTCGTTTAAATGACTAGATGGACAGACTACAGTTTTGAGGTCTGGTGTTCGATCCTCGCGCCATAAATTTTTTTTCCATGGGAAATATTCTTGTAGTCTGTCTTCGCCTTTCGAAAAAAAACCCGCCATCGGTGCTTTTTTGCGCACATTCGGTCGGTTAGGTATCAGCGACCGATTCCGGTTCTAAGATTGTTTCATTCTCAGTGGATGAGTCATCATCTAAATGTTTCGCTTAAAGGTGGAAGCTACTGTTGATGAGCTTTGCTCTTTCCATTGAGACCTCGAGTCTTCATTTACTCATTTTTTGGTACTAGTCACTGTATTGACGTATTATGAAAAAATCGTATAACTTATAATCGTATAAGCCGACTATCGTATAACGTTTAATCGTATATTTTGCCTTTCGTATGAAAAACGTATAACCTTATAACTTGAGGTCAAAATCCTTGCTCAATTATAACAACCGCTCAAGGCTTTTTAGATTGTGTTTGATGCTCGATTATATTGTTTGCCCGAAAAACTCTGATTGCTCTCAGAAAGTTTTTTATGTTGCAGTTCAGCCGCCCCTAATATCAATCATCTTGCAGTACTTAATGAAAAAATCTTTGTCTCACAAAAAAGAATCGCCGATTATCGGTTTCGTATAATCGTATAATTTATCCGATAAATCTGATCTCTGTATAATCTTATATCGTAGAAGGGTTTTTTTTCGTATAATTTTTCTTATATCGTATAACGTACACAAAACACTGGTACTAGTTTAATTGCTTGGTCCCTCAAGAATGCAGTGGTTCCTAATAACAACAGAGGTACAGTATTTGGGTTAATTCTCACAGTAAGCAGCTTAATTTATCTATGTTGATAACACAGCTGTTGTAGTTCATTTAGGGGGTACGAATTTGGTTTTCAACCCCAAGGTATAGGTTCGAAGCCCCCGCGCTTGTTTTTGTTTTCAGGAAATAGGCGGGACCTATCATCTACACTATTTTTCTCACGAGACCAAACAAGTAAACTAGTACCCATTTTTTTAGACAGACATAACTGTTTTTTTTTCTTTATGATAAAACTTCAAAGTCTAGTACATAATTCAGTTACATGTCATATCACGATGAGGTTTTTTAGCAGCTTTATTTTTCCAACAAAATGGTATCTCTCTTTTTTTTAAAATATAAACTAATCGAATAAAGTTAAAATAGGAATCATGAAATAAGGCAAGTTCATTATTCGGCGGTCATCGCCGTAAAATGTTTGTCTTAGGTTGCGCGGACATTGGGAATTGAAGCAGCGAGATCCACAATTATTAACGAGATCAACCACACCATGTCTAGTCACGGAATGTCAGTGGACATCCGACACGTCATGTTGCTGGCTGACCTCATGACTTACAGAGGTCAAATATGCGGAATGACTCGTCAAGGTATCAGTTTTTTAGAACTCTGAAAATCTGTAACTATTTAACTAAATTTAATTTTAGACGCAAAGTTATAATGGGAGTTTGATTAGACGCGATTTATTTCATGATAAGTAATCTAACATAATTACAAAAAAATGACCCCTTAAAAGCGTATTGGTATCATGTTTCATGATTGGGTTTTCTCTTTGAGAACAAAATTGGGGCCAAGTATTTCAGTTTTATTAGTGTACTCAATGGACCCTTCTTCTATGCTAATAATCGCAAATAAAAGTATTGATTAAAAGTGTTCACTTATGCTACAGTGCTGATTTGAATTATCCGGAAAAAATGAACTAAACTTGAGTTTTCAAACATGTTTTTCTCAAATTGGGTTAAGATTAGACAAAAAGTGAAGAGAACAAAAAGTGCTTAGAATTTCATGAGAATTAAAAGGGTGCATTTTTTTCTTCGAAATTCTCAACCAAAATTTTACCCCAACATTGGGTCATTTCGGTTTTTTTCAATTAATCAAGAATTACGCTGAAACTACTTTGTTAATTGATAAGAAATATATATCACAAGAAGCCTTTTACATAGCCCAACAAAGTTCTAGAAGGAATAAATCTCTAAAAACCTGTATAAGAGAAAATATTTTTGCTTGATAGTCAAGAAATGTGAATTTTACTATTTAAAACCCAAAATCTTTGTTTAAACACAAGATTTAAACAATTTACTCAAATTTTTAGAGATTTAACTTTTGTGGAACTTTGTTGGCCTATGTAGGTGGTTTCTTGTGATATATATTTCTTATCGATTAAGTAGTTTCAGAGCAATTTTTTATTTATTGAAAAGACAAAATGACCCAATTTTGTGGTAAATTTTTGTTTGAAAATTTCGGAGGAAAAAATGCACCATGATAATTCTGATGAAATTCTAAGCAACTATTGTTTTCTTCACTCTTTCTAATCTTAACCCAATTTGAGAAAAAAGCTTTTGAAATTTAAAAAAATTTCGTTTTGTCTGGTTTATTTAAATCAGCACTGTATCATCACGATAGTAGCATAGGAAGTTTCATAGCATCTGTTCTCTGCTTTATTTTTGGCTACGGTTTGAGTTTTATTTATCGACCGTGGCTGAGTGGTTAGTGTGTGAGACTCATAATATCCAGGTCGACGCATCGCGTCTGAGTAGTAACTCATTTTTTTTTTAAATTCGAGCCTTATTTCTACTTCGTATCGCACTTTATAGAGATGCTTTGTCGCGTTCTTGCTTGTGTTTTTTTGCGAAGTGTTTTTTCCGCTAGTGTTTGAAGTTTTGTCATTTTCAGGTCTAGGAGAATAAGAAATAGCTGTTTTAACGAAGTTTTCTTGAGCCAGGCTATTTTTTGGGTTGAATTATATCTAAACAAAAATCTACATCCTGAATCGGAATTTTTTTTTGTTTTGGTTAAGACCGTTATCATGAAGTAGTAGCAATATAGTTTTAATCTTTCTGATGCATTGGCTGAACCAGGGGTGGATCTATGATTTTCTCAATTGAGGGGGTTGACTTTTATTACTCGACCCAATTGATTTTTAACCGCGCGCTTCCTGGGACAATTCATATGTATTTGCAAGTTCTACAGCAACTTAGTTTCATCGGGGAGTAAAAAATGCAAAAAAAAATTTGTGCTCTTTTTTAGGTCTCTCCAGTTTCAAAGACAGTGTGATGATGTTGGCGTCTTTTGAGAGGACTTCTGACCACTTGTTCGAAGCATCCTACCACGGACAGACTGACTGCATCAGTGGCGTGAGCGAGTGCATCATCATGGGAATCCCGATGCGGGTGGGCACTGGACTGTTCCAGCTGCTCCAGAAGGTCCACTGGCAGCCAAAGCAAACTAGACCTCTTTTGTTTCAAAACGCAATCAAAGCTAATTGATTTGCCTCATCTGTTATGGAGAATTGCAAAAAGTTGAAACAGACAGACTTAATTTAAAAATTTAAAACAGCAAATGATCAGTTTTGAAAAAAAACTATGCATGCAAAAGTTTGTTTTATCATCATTCACAGTTTACATTTAAAGTCTTTTTTATTCAAATCTGTCTGTCCCAACTTTTTTTTCTTATCAATCTTAGAGCGTAGAAAGTAGCAAAGTGGTGGGCCGAAAAAATTGACAAAAACAACACCATAACGTTCAACAAATTGTGAAAGTTGGACTAATCCAGAAAAAATCTTAGTTTTAACTCTTAGTATACAGCTCACATATTTATTAAGAAACCGGGCAAAGTTGTAAACCAACTGTTAAACTTCAACCTTTTTGATTGTTGATACTTTCTACGCCTATCTCAAAACTTAAAATTTCTTTGATAATGATTTTTGTTCTGAAAGTTCAATTAAATTAAATATCAAAAAAGTCGAAATTTTCCAATTTACATTCCATTGAGCTAAAGAGTTATACTTATTGTATCAATAATGTTTTTTAATGACTTGGCGGTTTATAGAGGAATTTAAATCCGATATTATGTTGTTTGTGATACACCTATACCTATCTTGTTAAGTTTGCTCCATTTTTAAGAGTCGATGAACGTACTTCAGACTCTTACATATGTGGCAATGTTTTTTTTTTCAGGAAGAGTCCTAAAATTTGTTCAGGCTCAAATTTATTTTTTTTTCGGTTTGATTTATGTTTTTTAAGGTAGTTAATTTCCTTTCTTGACTCCACTACCGAACAGCAGAAGTATAAAGGTCGCGAAAAACGCGGTCTACCTCAAGTTTCGAAATTGGAATTTAAACAAACATAAACTTGAGTTACCGCGGTCTTATTTTTGACTTATTTTGAAGTTCAATTCAATTTCAAATTTAAGTACAATTCAATGTATTGCACGGAAAAACGTAATTGACTTTCAGTTTCGGGAAGGTTATAACTTTGTTTTCCCAGCCCAATATTTACATTCTTTTTTGATTCAGTTTTCTCGTTAGCACTACTCCAGTTGGCGTAATTTCTATCAATAAGTCTATTATATATTTTTATGCGGGCTTCACTTTACCGCCATGTTTAAAATTTTTCAACGTTTCATTTTTGCATGTTTAACGAAAGATTTTTTTCACGCTTAAAATATATGGTTTTTGCAATGGTTATGAAGTTTTTTTCTGTGTTTTAGTTTGCGAATTTGGTCTCAATTATGAATACCCAAATTCTTTTAGAAATTTTTTTTTAAGTTTCACACAATTTGAAATTATCAAACCTGTTTTTGTAGGCTCTCAGAGTACTCTCAGGGGATGTAAATCTCGCCTCCGAAAATGACTGCTGAATTCATTTTAGTTCCGAGACATGACGAGTTTTTAAAACTTTTCAAAAAATTTGATTTTAAAAAACTTACGAAATCTTGAAATCCCAACCCTTTAATGGCGTAAATCCAGGGTTTTCTCAAGCGTTGCATTTCATTCCGCCAAGTTTGACTGCTCAAATCATTCTAGTTTCCGAGACATACGACTTTTTATGATTTTTCGAATTCTTCTACTTTTGCGAAAGCAGGTGTTTTTTCAAAAAATAATCTCAAAAATACTTAACTAAGTTTGAATTCCCAATAATATGGTGGGTCGCATACAAGGTTCTCAAACTAAAATTTTTATCTGGTCCCCAATTATGACTGCTCGAAGCATATTACTTTCCTAGTTATGACGTTTGCATGATTTTTCAAAAGTGATTATTTTCAAAATATATATTTTCAAAATTGGAAACTCGCTCCATTGGTTGGGTGAAGTCATGTTACTGCCAGCAGTTTTAAATATGACAGTCATCCTAATATTTTTGCTCAAATTGTAAGTTCTCGAAAATGGAAAGTGACGTATTTTTTTTAACGTTCAAAAATTTTCGTCAAACAAAGAATTAAACTAAGAAAAAATCTGATGTTTTAAAATTCAATTACGCTAGATTTATAAAATGATAGCTGCAAGTGAAAAGAGTAGAGGCTAATAAAACATGGAACTAAGTTGAAAAATGCTCTCATTCATGAATTTAGTGATTTCGCCAACGAACTCATGAAATATAGATAGTGCAGTTGTATGCTGTCGGCCATTTTTGGGTATTGTTTCTGAGTTTTAATTACGAAAATCCCACACCCATTAGTTTCGGAGATTCGACAATCGGAGTTTAAAGATAAGCTTGAATTTTTTTGTTGTTCAATTCCTGAATTCGAAAACGCTGTTGGTAACCTCCGTCTACTGTTATGAATGCATTTATTTCGTGTTTTTTTTTTCACATGTTTCATATATGAGCAGTTTTCACATCTATTAATCTGTTTGAGGCACCGGAGGTGAGTTACTCGCTATTTGTTATGATTGAAAGATTCTGGAACTTCAAATAACCGTAGGCTGGATTTTTTCCTGGAAACTCGAAAGTTTTACAAAATTAAGTTTTGTTTTGATCCCTGTCAGTTCATTTACATTTTTTTCAAATGCCTGAAGGCCCTGTTTTGGTTTTCTCTATAAAAAAGCCAGCGATCAAAGTAAACTAAGTTGGAATGTTGAAATATCTATTAAATTTGTTTTTATCATATTGCCTCCGAGTGATCGGAATGGCAAAGAAACATACTTGTCAACGGGCCGTGGGCCTCAACGGGGCGGGCCGGGCCGGGCCGAGGTTTTCACTTTTGTCAACGGGCCCCAACGGGCCTTTTTTTTATTGACAGTTTCAGTGCGCACTCTACAGCTTGCAGTGTGCTAAACGACATGACTACTACGTTCACTGCCGATTCAAAATTCGACGTTTCCATGGCTTTTAAAAAAGGTCTTTATAATTAAGTAAAACAATTAATTAAAATTGTTTTGAAACAAATTTGTTTTTTATCAAAAAAGCAGCAACGGGCCGATTTTTAATAAATTCCCTGTTTATCGGGCCGCCAGCGGGCTCGACTTGAATTATATCGGGTCGGGCCTCAATTATGGCGGCCCGTTAACAAGTCTGCAAAGAAATCAGTTAACTGACAAAATTTTTATTCAATCTGTGTATTTTGATGGCATCTGACAAGAAAACGTAGTTGTTCTTAGAAAATTGCTTGGCTAGGCTAGCTTGCTTCTAAATTTTTCTCCCTAAATTTACCTGGAAGCTTTTCCATTCCTTTTTTATCGTTTCAACAATTGGCCATTTCTGATAGCATATGATTGATAAGTTTGTTAGTTTAATTTGGATAAGTAGTTGAATCAAGCAAATTTTTAAACTTGAATATAAAGGTGGCATGCCAACGGTTCGGTTTACCAAAATTGTCAAGTTTGTTAGCTTGCCGAAATTAGAAGACTTTTACACTTGCGAAACGAGTGTATTAGTACGAACCTTCTGAATTTTCCAACCTAATTCTCAAATATTGGTGCCAATTTTGGGACACCTTTACAGCATTTTCACATTATGTGCTTTGACATTCGATTAGTAATTAGTTAACACATACATAACAATCTTGAAAACTCGATATCAGAAATTTTCTATCTCAAAATATTTCCATTTTTTTGAAATGCATAAGTTATACATAACGTGGTTTTGCGGTTTGCTGCATGCAAAGTTAGTGTGGATGCCTTTACCTTGTTTTTTTCATAGTTTTACTTGCAAAATTGAGTCTATTTGTATTCCGTGCCACTTTTGCTGAATGGCATTGGCAATTTATTAGCATATACAGCTGCTTTATTCGTAACTAGTGTTTGTCGGCATAGCTTGCGTGGCTGAGTGGATAGTGCGTGAGACTCAAAATCTTTTGATAGCAGTAGGTCGCAGATTCAAACCCTACACGTAGCCGAGTTTTTGGTAATTCGAGGCTTATTTCTACTTTTTCTTTTTCCACTTGATAGAGCTGCTTTTTGGTCGTGTTCTCACAAGTTTTTGCGAAGCGCAGCTTCGCCTCTGTGTTCATTTTCATTGACTGAATCCTTTAAGGCTTTGCTGCTTGTGAAATTTTTTTTTTCACTTCTGACAGTTTTGCTACTTAACCTTACTTTATTTACATTAAGCATAGATTTTGTAAAATGAAGCGTGAAAAGTTCTAAACTGCCTCCTAGAATGAGGTGCTCATTGTGTACTTTGCTGCAAAAATATCAGTTTGTTTTTGGTTTCCTTAAATTCATTGACACTTTTTATAACTGTCTTTGTTTAATAATAGACTTTTTAATCGCGCGTTATGGTCATCTGTCTATTTATTAAGCCCACATAACTCTACCAAAAATGTTAGCAAAACAGCTACTTATTTCAGTGCATTATGATCAGCAGCATGCAGCCTGTTCTAATAAATACCCAAATCATGTGTGTTTTGATTTTTGGGTTTGATATTTTTATCCGCGCATTTTTATCCACGGTATGATGAAAAATTATTTTTTTTTGTCCAGGAGTCGGAGGTAAGAAGAAAACAGAAAAAACGCTTTGCGTAGAATTTTAAATCAACTTTACGTAACTCAAAGTTTCTTAAATTATTGAATTTGCTATCATGCCAAACAATTTTCAGTCATGCTTCATTGCTCCGTAATCGGTTTGAAAATTTTATCTGAGTTGCGAGAAAAAATGGACCTTTGTTTTTGATTTTCTGGCTGGGTATGGATAAAAAGAGTCGTTCTTAAATTGTTATAATAAATTAGAACATAAAACTTGTCATAGTTCTGGAATATTTTAAAGTATTTTTTCCCATTGCTGACTAGATAAGTGTTTTCTAAATTTTTTCAGATGTATGTTTTTATTGGCAAAAAGAACTATGATCGGAACAATTCGTGATGCTTCTTCCACAACCTAGTGTTTTTTTACTCATACGCCCCACTATCTTCAGGAAACTGAATTAGGGCCAAAATAATCTTCAGAACACTATCTCTCTCACACACACACACACGCACACACACACCAGCCTTTTTTTCTAACTATAATTAAACACTGAACCATACTGATCACGTTAGAGTTTAAAAAAAAGTCTTCTTTTGAGTCTTCACAGCGCATCTGGCAGCAATTTCTGGTTGATTGATATAACTGTTTTTGTTCCAGGGTCTTAATTTGTTTCTTTTTCCCT